ACGTTGATCTCAAGACCAGGTGAAGAAAACAGGGAGCAAAATGACGGACAAGGAAAAGAAGGCGTCAGAGAGAGAAAACCACGAGAGACTAACAGAGAAAAGAAAAAACAGAGAGGGGCAGGCAGCAGGATAGAGAAACAAAATGATTTCGCAGAGACAAATCCTCAATAAAGGCGAAACACAACCAGAACGGAATGTAGGAGCACTGAGGAAAAGGAAGGCGGAGGGGGGCAGTGGGAATTTGGAGAAAACTGAGGGTAAAAGCAGAGATCTAATTATTCTGCTATCCCCCCTTTTGATAAAATACAGAAAACTGGAATTTTAAAAAACAAGTAAACTCACCAGAATTTAGCAAGGAAAAATTCCAACTAAAATTTTCGAAGCTGCTTTGTTCTGCTGTCATAGGAAGCAAATTTAACTTCCTACTGCACAGGAAGGTGCCATAATGACTTTCTCATTTAAAAAGTCCCGTACTGTTATTTCCTTACCTCTCTAACCCGTGTGTATACTGTCTCTAAGATAAATAATAGCTAACATTTATTAAGTAGTTCCTATATGACACATACCATTCTAAATGCATTCCATGAATTAGCTCATTTAATCCTCAGGACATGCCTATGAACTAGGTGTTATCATCATCACCATTTCCGATGAGAAAACAAAGACACAGAGAGGTTACTTGTCCAATATCACACAGCTCACAGCTAATTTTTTTAAATTAACATGAAAAAAACAACCCTACTCAGAGCATTCTACTAAATTTAGCCAATTAAAGTTTGACTACACAGGGATAAGAACTTAACAATACAAGATGAGAAACAATAACATCAAAAGCTTTCAAAAGAAATGAGCTGTGAAATTCAACTGCATTTCTAGATCTGTGCTTAAGTTAAAAAGCAGAACTAGAATTTCAGAAGACATTTACACTATCTACAAAGATCAGGATAACTTTCCAGAAATAGACCTGCTTTCACTTACTTTTCTAAAATGTAAGTGTGTAGTTTTAAACTTATAAATGAAAGCTAATATATGCTTATTTTAGAAAACACAAAGTATAAAGAGGAAGAAAAAAATCCTATCTAAAACATTTAGTGATAATAGCATGATGCTTCCTTTCAGTCTGATTTCTTTCTATACAAAGTTTTTAAAAAAATAATGTTAGTTTTACAGGAACCCTACTTTGTATCTGCTTTTTACTTTAAATGTTAAAATATAAATACTTTACGATCTTTTAATAAACTCTTCAAATATTTTTTAAATAGCTACATATTAGTCTGTGGAGGAGATACATAAACATTTAATAAACATTCTTTTTTCTTTTTTTTTTCTAAAAGATTTTATTGGGGAATTGGGGGAGGGGACCAGCCAAGTTGTTGTTCTTCAATCTTCGTTGTGGAGGGCACCAGTTGCCATCTGGCTTCCTGTCAGCAGCTCATGGCCTCTAAGCTCAAGGTGCTGTGTTCAATCTTAGTTGCAGGTGGGCACAGCCAACATCCCACGTGGGAGTCAAACCGGCAGCCTTGCTGTTAAGAGCACATGCCCTATCCACTGAGCCATCAGGGCAGCAGCTCAGCTCAAGGTGCCAAGTTCAGTCTTAGTTGCAGGTGGGCACAGCCCACCATCGAACAGGCAATGTTGTTACACCAACTGAGCCATCCTGCCACCTGTTTGCAGCTCAGGCGCGGCGTCACTGGCCTATGTGGGAATCGAACGAGCAGCCCTGTTGCTCAGAGCTCGCGCTCTTAAGCCAACTCTTAACCAACTGAGTCACTCGGCCGGCCCTAAACATTCCTATTATTGGACATTTACTGTATTTCCCCATGTATAAGACGCACCCTTTTCAAAAAATTTGGGTCTAAAAACTGGGTGCGTCTTATACAGTGGTTGTAGATTTTTTTACTTGCATTTCCCACTTTTTTCGCGCTTGTTTTTGCGCTCATTGTTGTAGATTTTTTTACTTGCATTTCCTGCTTTTTCGCGCTTGTTGTCTTGTGCTCATTGTTTCGCACTTGTTACCGGTATATTATGCTAGGTTACGTTTTGCCACATTCTGCCCAGAAATGGCTCAGGAAAGATGTTCGTACAGTGCTGAATTCAAGTTAAAAGTGATCCAGTTTGCAAAAGTGAATGGAAATCGTGCTGCTGAATGTAAGTTTGGTCCTCCTCCAACTGAGAAAACAATCCGAGATTGGCTACGGGAAGAAGAAACCCTACTGAAAACGCCAGGGCAGAAGAAGGCCATGAGAGGCAATATATGAAGACAGTGATTCGTCATCAGACACAGATGAGGACAAGCTCATGGTTGGGAGTTTTGACAGTGATGAAGAGTTGTATGAATTTTATGATGAATAAAATTTGAGTTCAATAACTTTATGTAATACATTATTTTTTTCAAATTTTGGGCCCCAAAATTAAGATGCGTCTTATACACGGGAGCGTCTTATACATGGGGAAATATGATAGGTTTTTGCTAGCTTCACTTTAACCAAGAATATCCAAAGAGAACAGCCTATATACTTCATTTGTTAAAATAAAGAAATGTTGCTAAAGACTTACAATCAGAACAGTCTTTATAAACGCTAATCAGAAGACTGCTCAATTGATCCTAATCACCTGAACTGATAAAAAGGAAACAGAAAAACAGCCCTACCCCTACCTCACACATATCATGTACCTTGGACCTCTCAAACATCTGTGTTCATCTGCTTGGACTACTTAATGTCAAGCAGTGACCAACTGGCAGCCGTTAATCTTAGGAATAATTTATCCTCAGCCTAGATTTCTTTTCCATGGTCGGCAGTGAGGGCAGTTATAGTAATTGTATCTTGCTTTCCATGTATTAATAATAGCACTCCATTGTGGGGTGCTATTAAAAGCTGCTTGGATCATATTGACACAAAGACAGCAGCATGTCAAACTCCCCAAAATTCCATGAGTGAGATTAAAACCCTGCATATTACTATTCTTTTATGCCCAACCTGAAGCCGTCTATATACCTCTGATCTCCTAGACCAGGGGTTGGCAAACGGCGGCGCGTGAGCCACATGCAGCTCTTTGGGTACATTCCGTCTCAAAAGTTTGCCGACCCCTGGAAAAGCCAATCCTGTCCCTCACAACAATTTAAAAATTATTCGAGAGCCATACATATATTTTTACATAATCACCATTATGTGAATAATATCCTTTAAAAATTTTATAAATGAAACCATGATAGTTTTATTTTCATTTTCAATTTTACTTTAGAGCCGCAGTTTGCTGAAACCCTGGCGGCTCTTCCATCTCAAAAGTTTGCCGACCCCTGTCCTAGACCAAAAGAATAGCAAAATCCTAAAAATACATTTGTACTTGTGCTTTACTTACCAAAGGCACTGAAAAGCTGGTAAAGGTCGCTGGTTTTCCATTCTTTGGGGAATGTCACATGGAGAACATGATCACGTTTAGGCTGCACTACAAGACAAATTTTTGATGAAACGTCAATAGTTGAAAGTGAACAACACACCAGGGGCTCTTTGATGTAACCAAGCCCACGCAAACTTGGAGAATCGTGATGGATGCCTCATGGTTACCAGACAGCTCCTGAAAGCATTCTCAGGAACAGCAGGACTCTGCCATCTCAGCCTGGTCCTCAGGCTCTGTTGCTTTATAGAACCCACAACAATCTGAACCCTAGCATTCTAGGCAGAGACATCTGTGCTCACGACTTTCCTGTGAAAATTATCTAAAGAAAAAAAAACGACTGCTCTGTTTGAGGAGTTTCACTAAACATTTCACTTTCTCCTTTTAATCTATAATAGTTGTCCACGTTTATTTAGCTTTAAAAAAAAAAAATCAAAACGCACTGCCCAAACTGAATGGACTCATTGCGTTTAAGTAAAGGCAGTCCTGAGTCACAGTCTTGTGTTCTCATTGCAGACCCACCACTTACCTGTGCACCTCTGAGCAAGAGACCTAACCACTCCAGCCATCCATGGCTGTAAATTGGGAATGACGATAGTTAGCTTGCACAATTGTTTTGAGAATGACAGATTAAATGTAAATCAAATATGGAGGTGCAGCATAGTACATCCTCAAATTAATATCATTGCAATGACTAATATCATCAAGTATAGTTCACCCATTTCTATATCCCTGAGGCATGTATTCAGGCAAATAAACCAAATCCAGGAAAAGAAGAGTGGGGCGATGCAGATAAAGTAGAGAATAATCAGAGGAAGCAACCATCTCCCAAAGACTGGCCTTCCAAGGTTTTCAATGATGATAAAAACCAAAAAAAATATCAACCTACTAAACTTAAACATGCTGTACTCAAATAATTAGAAAACAGAGAACTTACTGCTACTGACATAGCTAGCACATCGTAAAATCTATTATATATATTTACAGGAAATTATGAATTTAGAGTTCTGAGCAAAAAGAAATAATGGAGATATGTTTGTTTGTTTTTAAAATCAACTCATGCATAAACTGGAAAATATAAGAGATGAGTTGATCAAGGCCCAAGGGTACCGTTAACTTAAGCATACTATTCATATCAACCACAAAATCACTGCCTATTTTTAAGTGAATAAAGCTCTTTCTTCAGTAATACTTTTCCTGTTGTCCCTTCCAGACCACACAGCTAAATGTGCAGATGCATGAGAAAATAAAATTTCACTTACAGTCTGGTCCTTGCAAGTTTAGATAGGGGATATCCATGACTCTCATAAGAAATAACCTACAAAAAGAAAAGAAAAAACAGGTAATGAACAAATTTCAATTAAAAACCCAATAGGTATCTATTAAATGTTTTAGAAGCTTCTTATTATAGTACTGTATTTTAAAAATCATTTTAAAAGCGCTTTAAGTCACGTCAAAGATTTTTCTCTAGGGCTAAATATTTATCACAAATAGACTAAAACAGACTATAGTATCCCTGATGCCTACAATAGTTCCTGGCACTCAGTAGCTGCTCCATAAATATTAGCTAAATGAATGAAATTAGGAATCAGAGACGAAAGAAAAGTCCTCTGCTGAGCTGCCCTGTTAGTTCAGAGTAACTGAAATAAAACAAATACTACAGAGTGCTAACCATCTTCCTGACTTATGAACAAGTGTTACTAAAATTATAAAGGTAACCCCTTTGATTGGTGTTGTGTGAGTTGAGAATATCAACATAGATGTCTTTTTTTCACTGAAATGCAGTCACTGGATGAAAACTAATCTTATTGGGTGAATTGCACTGTCTAAAATGAATGTCTCAGAAGCTCATGTCATTATTGTCGTTTAAAACATATTAAAAGCACAAAGCTTCTGAAAACTTCCACAAAGTAAACAGATGGCCGATCTTTAACTCAAAAAAAAAAAAAAAGCGCAAAGTAAACAATCCCTGGTTAAAAAACAAAAAAAAACTACCACACTGACATAAACCATAGCAGTCATTTTACGTATATCTTCTAAAACGGACACAAAGGCACTTAAAATAGAGTACTTATAAATTACAACTTTCTGTAAGGCCATTCAATTTTCTCTTATATTCAAGATTGTGGATAAAACATTAGGCATTCTTTTGTCTGTGAGATGATTTCAATGAGTTTTATTTAGATAACGATATATTTTGCGTTTCTGGTAGAGACTACATTATACAGCAAATTAAAAAGGCAATCCATGTCCCCAACAAGCAATTAGTTTGGCATCACTGACCCACAATTAAGGCACATTATTACCAGGCATTCAAAAACCAAGCAGGGTATGATCTAGTTTACAAATGGAACCATCAGTCTGAATAACACTGCCTGGTAACACTAGAGAAAAAGCAGTCATGGTACTCTGTGGTTGGAGAACTTATATCCTAGCCTACAATTTAATAAACCAAATCCTATGGGTCAGAAACCAAATTTATTTTTAGTTCACTAATTTAGACCCAAGTGTACTATTCTGGTTCCGGCAGCTATTTTCCCCAATTTAATCAATACTACCTACAATGCCAGAAGACTAAGGTAAGACATATAAATCACCTAGCACATAGGAGGTTCTCCATGGAAGTCACTGTTGGTACCTATTGCCAATTAGAACCTGGAAAGTTATTCCTGGGTTAGAAGGCTCAATATTTTTATGCTTCACATAATTTTTAATTCTCCATTTAATAAACTCAGAGATGGTCCCCAAATTCTAAAAACGAAATTGAAAAAACTTTCAAAGTTAACAGAACATATCAAGCACCATAAAAATAATTAAAATTTTTTACCCTACTTTCAACAGAATAAAAGTTAAACCAACAGGAAGTTCACTGCCATACTGCCAAACACACCAATAATCAAAATCAACCTCAAGATTTAATAATATGGACGGGTTGGTAGATTATAGTTCATCAGTCAATAGAACATTAAACAATCAAAAACAATGTCTGAAAACTTCACAACATGAAGAAATTGTGACACAATTTTAAGTTTTCAAAAGGCACAAAAGTTTATGACTACAGCGTTGTACTATATTTATATGTCATTAAACCAAGAATAAAAGAATACCCCCCTCCCCCGAAAGAAAGTCAATGGTTTTGGGAAACTGATTTTTGTTTTTCCAAGTTCCTTTTACTATTATTTTTTAAACTTAAACAAACAAACAAAAAAAGGCTACCAGAACTGAGAGGCCCAGGGGAAATAACTAGAGACATTCTCGGAGAAAGCCCAGCTGAAAGTGCCCATTGAATCAACCTAATGTATCCTGTGCACCATCTCACCTCTTGTGGGAGAGAGGAACATAGAGTAAAATCACAACTTTGAGTCTGCAGTTCTTTTATTTCTTCTTAAAAGATTGTTTCATTTCTAAAATCATGGGACCTCAATAATGAGAAGACTTACTGTCCTATAAATATAAATAAAGCACTTACAAAGAAAAAAAAAAGACTTCCTCAATTTATCTCAGCATCTAAACGTTTAAAAAAATTTTTTGAAAGACATCTTTTGTCAAGCAATATATAGGCTATTTGTTCTCTAAACTTTCATCTGCATTTTAAGTATCATCTCTGTTTAACATAAGTAAAAACTGATTCTCAGCAAAAACACTCAAAAATTTTTTCAAAGGTTAGTTAATCCTGTACTATCTTGGTTGCTTGCTTTGATACTTTAACTAAATAGAAACCCCTTTCAAATGAATTATTAATAGCATTTCTCACTCTTCCCCTCGGCCTCCACCTTCGTGTCTGGCTTTAGAGAGAACTGAAAAGCCCCAAACCCTGGAAGAACACGAAAACCAACTGTGTGTGTGACTTGGCAGACTGCGCCTCTGGAGAGAGCCCTGCAATTGGGAAACCAACTCTAAAACTGTAGCTGAGCGTCTGTGGAACTGAACCAAAGTAAACTCTGCAATGGCCTCCCGCCCCATTATGCCAGGCTGCTCACAAGCCACTGCTCTGGTAACATCCCTGCCCTTCTGAAGTAAAACTAAAGCATTTCATTGTATGCATGCCTCATGCAAACTGGCTGTTAAAAGGCCTGCACTGACCGCCTGGCATGATCTGATAAAATACTTCACATATGGATCGCTGCACTGGACAGGTTTCATTTTAACATATGAGGAAATGCTGATGAGTACATGGAAGGATGTCCCTTTGCTGTGAATTGTATTAAAGAACAACCTCCCCCAGGAGGCCTTCCATTGGCAGATATCAAAAAGACACTCGGACCAACACCTGCATGAAACGTTTTCTCTATGTTAGTGAAGATTCAAGATACCTTAATTGGGTAAAGACACTCAAGACTGTGCAGGAGTCTTGCCACATCCCTGTAAGCTTTCTGATGAAATGTTATTTTTGCACTTTTTCTCCAAAGGATTGACACTAAGTCTGTCAAAGACTAAAGTTAAAATTCCCATTTGATACAATGGCCAAATTTACACCCAAGACTCTATACTGCATAACTCTAGTTCACATTCTAGATGCCATAAAACAAATTTTACCCTTTTTGCCATCTGTCAGTTTTTTGATGTTCTACGATTATACAGCGGGTGATGGATGCTGTTTATCTCGGCTTTGGAACAAGTCTGGAAAGATCCAAGGGTGAAGCACAGGGCACTCTGGCCTCTGCTGCTCAGCAGACTGGGTGGCTTCAGCTTGGCCTCCTAACAGGTTACACAGGGCAGGCTGTGAGCGACGCCATTATCTCCAAACAGCCACCCACCTCTGTGGCCTCTATGCTGTGGGTCACTCACAAAAAGCCATCTGCTAACATTGTTTTCCAACAAGGGCAGTGTGACACTCTCATCTGGACCATGTAAGAAGGCTAGCTACTCATCAAAGAATTTCATTTCAGATGTAAAACTTCTCAGGGACCTAGAATCTTGAGTCCTTATCAAAATGTGGTTCCCCGGACCAGCAGCCTAGGCATCACCTGGGAACTGGGTAGAAATGCCAATTCCTGGGCCCCACCTAACCCTTCTGACTCAGAACTCTGGGGACCAACAGTCATTGAGTTAACAGGAAAAGAGTTATGTTCAAGGTTGAGTTGTTGTGATTAATGATGATTCATTAATTAGCTGGATAATAATGATGTGGACCAATTTCTCCAAAAATTATTAGTCTTACTGATTTGTTTATAGTAAATGATTTTGGCTTAGAAAAACACGAAACTATTAAAACAAATACTAAGGACTACCTCAAAATCCAGGAAGCAATAACATAAGGCTTCTACCACTCCCTGAAACGAGGCAGCCAACTATGGCAAGCAACTAGGTTCTCTGCAAGAGATAAACTGGGGGAAATTATTGCTCTGGCAGCTATTTTTCTCATTTTTAAGAAAAAAGTTTAAAAAGACAATACTTATACTACTCTCTTGGCAACTCATTGGCAAGGGTCCAGCCTATCTCTGTGACTTGGCCACAAATGAACACCTCCAGCATCAGCATCACAAATTAAACTTGAGCCACTAATGCAGTCCCGAAGACTGGCAAACACTTTACACAAAGAGTCAGACACCTCTAACCTTATCAAAACTCTCCAACCTTACCAACAAGTTTCAGACAGATTCTGGCAACCACAAAACACATGAGGCTGCTTTAAGACGTACACTAAGATCAGAGGTTAGCCTCTGATGACACAACAGCTTGCCTTGGACTGTGGCTTATCTGAACCCCTCCCTACCTGTCCAGTGAATAAGATTGCAAAACAATGCCAGTATTAACCCATTTCATGCAGCTGAGCTCAAGATAACAAAAGGAACAAAAGTGATACGCAAAAACGCATGGAAGAAGTCCTGAAGAGGCTCAGATCTCGGGGAACTGAAAAGACCATTCAAGTTCTGTAAAATTCTGCATTACCAAATCTGTGCATAAAACCAATGATTCTATCTATTTAGAAAGAAAATATTTCATTCTGCTCCAGCAGCAGCATGCTTTCCAATGCTATGTGGGAGCCGTGGCCTTCTCACACTTGGCATTTAATCTGAGCTCTGTTCAAAGCCTCCATGTGAAATGGGGAGCTGCACTCCTAGCAGGAGCATCGAGGGACAAGTCAGGGATTTAGTCCTGAATCACCACCCAAGCCCCTAGTGTGTAAGAGTGAAGCAACAGCTCAGGATACGCATCAAGATCTCAGAAACATTGTTTTGTCCTGCTCTAGGGCTGATTAAATGACAGCTTCGTGCGATGCGCAGAGCCTAGATACAAGAAATGAGCTTGCTGTCTGAGAATGAGCTTTGGGTAGACTGAGACTGCAAGGCAATGAGGAGCAACAGGCAGGAAGAG